AGTGCACCTGAGATGGACCGGAAGGCAGCTCTTCCCATCTCACTGAGGAAGGAAGAGCTCAGCTTTAGGTTCAAGGGCATGTGACTGCGGAGGGTCAGAACTGCGCCCGGGGCTAGGCATGCCGAGGAGGCAGGAAGGGGCTGGCGTTGTCACCTAGCAGGTTGAGCTCCTGCCTGTGATGCTGGCGTCCCATATGCACGCCCGTCTGAGTCCCAGCTGCTCCACTTCCAATCCAGCTCCCTGCTAATACGCCCAGGAAAGCAGCAAAAGATGGCTCAAGTTCTTGGCCCCTGTCACCCATGTGGGAGACCAGGATGGAGTTCTGGGTTCCTGGCTTTGGCCTGGCTCAGTCCAACATCTGCAGCCATTTGGAGAGTGAACGAGCAGATGGAAGATCCTCTCTCTCTCTTTCTCTCTCTCTGTGACTCTGCCTTTCAAATAAATACACGGCAGGAAGAGGAAAGGTTGAGAACATGGCCGCAGGGACTGCACCAGGCTGTCTGAGTTAAAATCCCAGCTCAGTCTCTTCACAGCTGTGTGACCTTGGGAAAACCACTCAACCTCTCAGAGCCTGACCCCTCATCTGTAAAATGGGAGAGTGATGATAACAGTGCGTATCTCCTAAGGCTGCTGGAGGGATCAAATGAATTCACACCCAGTTCTCAGTCATGCCTGGGCTATTTCTGTGCACCCCCACTTCCAAGTGCAGGATGGGGCTCAGGAGGTCAGCCCCGCCTCATCGGCGCTAACGCAAGCGTCCATCCCAGCAGGACAGGGTGTGTGGTTACGTGGGACAGACAGGGTGCTGGAGCTGCGTGTTGACCAGAAGCCTGGCCGGCTGCGAAATCCCTGGGGCTCAATACTGAGCAATTTCTAAAGTAAATAAGTTGAAAATAAGCCAATCGCCTAGGTAATAGGAGATTTTCCTCCCGTCTGCGCTGGTAATGGAGCCACCGTGGCCAGTCTCCCACGCCCCAGTGCTGTAGTGGGGTAAAGGGGCGTGAGGAAGCCGCCTGGCGAGCAGCACACGCGGGCTCCGCCAGGAGGAAGCCAGCACTGCTGCTCCTGCACAGCCCTGGCAAGTGTGCAAGGCCTCTCCTCACCTCTCCTCCAACGCGGGATGCACATTCCCCCGGGAACCCATCCAGGCTCCCTGCGGGACCTGCCCCGGGAAGGGCACCATTCTCCCCACAACACACTCAAGTTCCGGGGCCGCACCTCAAGTCTTTAGGAGAGTAAGAGCTCTTCGGCCGAGGTTTGGTGGGGACAGAGGCCCTTGGGATCTGAACCACGGGACAGCCCTGTCTGCTCCTATGTCCCTGCGGCTCTAGAAGCGCCAGGAACATGTCCCTGAGTCAGGCTCTGCCCAGCACTCAAGCGCTGAGCTGCTGCCCCGGAGTGCCTCCCTTTGGCGGCCCAGTCCAGGACGCGTCTGCACTCAGGTGAGGAAAGAGAGCGCCCTGCTGGCATTCTGAGAAAGCCAGGGCTGGGGGCCAAAACAAACAGGCACAAGGAGGCGGGGCTTCCAGAACAATCTGTCACAAAAGAGAATTCTCTGCTCCTCAGACTGGCACTTTGTCCCTGTCACACAACGCACCCTCTGGCCGTCCCAGGCAGCCAGGGTCCTTGAGGAACCCAAGTCTATCAGTGGCCCGCAAGAGGTCCTTGCCACGTCTGAGCCAGTCCTCCACGGCCTACTTGGAAAGGGCAGAGCAGTGCCAAGGCAAGAAAGCATTAGAACTGGGAGACCAGAAGCCCAGCCCAGCCACCGTACGAGGTGCAGAGTTGGAAGAGGGCAAGCCCTCCCGAGCGCCCCCTCAGCTGCTTCGTCCAGAGGGAGCACGCCACGTGGACCCAAAGGCCAGCTACAGAGCCCTCGGAGGGGCAAGGGCACCCTTCTCTGTGTTGGGGAGAGGGGAGCCCCAGCAATGCGATGCTTAAGGCACGGGCGCCGAGACAGCCTGCCTGGGTTCCAACCCTACTTCTACCATTGCCTGACTGTGCGACCGTGAACATGACACTTTGCCCCTCCGTTCCTACTCCGCTGGGCTGTGGTGGTGAGGTCTAAACAAGCCAGTATATGTAAAGCCCGTGGACCACGGTTGGCACATAATATGCTTACGCTATCACAAACGTGACCAGTTTTCCCAGGGTTCCCTGGCTTTTTGTGGTCCCAGCATCATTATTAATATTTTCTGCTTCACTGTCCAAAGTACTGCCAGCAGCTCTTGTCTTTAATGAGCCCACCTTGTGTATCCGTGTCGCCTCTCCGGGTACTGCGGAGCCAGGGCCCCAAGTGTTACATCCCCAGTGACAGCTCGGGCCTTGCCACTGTGCTGTTCATGCCGTAAATCCCACGTTCCCTCTTTCCCTTTTCTCTGCTGTGCCTCTTCTCCCCCTCCCCCACGGCGCCCTTTACTTCCCTGGTCCTCCCTGTCTGCAGGGTAGGGCTCTGGCAGCGCACGCACCCTGAGGCTCCTGGGGACTCCCCAGTCGTGAACTTGGGACACCTGCTGACTCTAACTCAACTGTGCTTTCTCAGATTTCTCCTGGAGGAAACAACTTGAGAAGTCAAAGGAATGATGTGAGCACTAGAAGGAAGAGCGGGGTAGAAACATTTTCTGAGTGTGTGTGTGTGTGCATGCGTGTGCACGCATGTGTGTGGGGGTGGGCGGGGAGGCAAACGAGAAGATCAGCTTAAAAGGGCTCCGTCCAACGCTGGGAACTGTCTTCAAAACCACCCAAGGCTGCTGGATAGGAGAGGCTGGAGGCTGCTTTCCGTGGGGCTCTTACCACACGTCAGGGGAGAAAGCAGGACGCAAGTCAGGTGCCCCATGGTCTGGGCCCATTTCTGCCACCCAGCGACCACTGGCAAAGAGCGTGACTTTCCAAAGCTGCAGACTCCCCAGCTGTAGGACATGGCAGACCCGTCCACAGACATGGGATTCTATGACATTGTAAGAGGCCCTGGTCTTGGGGCTGGCGCTGTGGCATAGCAGGTAAAGCCCCAGCTGTAGCACTGGCATCCCATATGGGCGCTGGTTCGAGCCCCAGCTGCTCCACTTCCAATCCAGCTCTCTTCTATGGCCTAGGAAAGCAGGGGAAGATGGCCCAAGTCCTTGGGCCCCTGCACCCACGTGGGAGACTGGAGGAAGCTCCTGGCTCCCAGCTTTAAATCAGCCCAGCTGTGGCCACTGCGCCCATTTGGGGAGTGAACCAGCAGATGGAAGACTTCTCCCTCTCTCTCTCTCTGTCTCTGCTTCTCTGTAACTCTGCCTTTCAAATAAATAAATACATCTTAAAAAAATTAAATAAAATAAAGAGGACCTGATTTGGCTGGGAGGACCTGAAACAGCCCTGGGAGAATTCAACACTGTTCTGCATATCCATCTTGGAGGTCTTTGACTAACGGAGGCCCCGTATAGCAGCTCACCTTCCCCCCACTTCTTTTAGCAACGCCTCTGCCCTCCTCTCCCTCCATTCCCACCGATCCAACACACTTAGCCCCACACAGCCCCTTCCCAGGTTCTCCTCCCGCAACCTCCTGCACGATGCTGCAGCCCACAGGCAGCTGGAGACCACAAGTCCCTGGGAACCCGGCTCCAGGAACATGGCTTCCCTTCTAGAATCCACAGGCAACCCCCTCCCCAGCCTAACAGCAGAGTTCAAGTTCCCCAGCCTCACACCCACAGCCTTCCACCAGCTGACCCGGCCAGCACTCCTCTCTATGTCTCCCACTGCGTTTTCCCTTGTTCCTGGGTACATCCCACATCCTCAACTTTGCTCATGCGGGCCTCCTCTTCAAGGCTTAGCCTAGGTGCCAAGTCCGGAATGTCATCCGGATCCGGTCCTTCCAGAAGGAACTCGGCCACTCCCAACTCTCCTGCATTCTACCACCCGGTACCAAGAGGGGAAGGGATGGCTGAGGTCCCACGTGAAGCCTCCCATTTCCCACTGAAACATGGACAGAGCAGCTCTGGTGGCAAAACACCTCTCGGGGAGATCGCGCCTGCTCATCTCACCCGAAAAGGGCCATGCACCTGCACCCTCAAACCCCACCTCCATCCTCCATGTAGGAAGCCGCCCTGGCATCACGTGCCTGTGCCCGCAGCCGGGTGACAACGCTCTTTGGTGAATGCTGGTTCGCTCCAGAAGCGAGTTCACTGGTTCGTGGGTTAGGGTCTTCCTCTGACCTCTGCCACCCCTGGGCACTGCTGCCCCCCTCCGGGGCTCTCTGCTCCCTGGAGTCACACAGAACTAAGCTCTGTCTTCCTGGTGTCCTGCACCGAGCCAGAAGCAAGCAGAGCCCATAACGGCTCTGTGGAAGGGGACAGAGGGCTCTCCTGCGTGCGCGCACGCACATCTGGGCCACAGGGGGCGCAGGGGGCTGAGTCTGCCAGGCTGACCACAGCACAGGCAGGGGCGGGGGCGGAAGTGAAGCCCCGGAGGCCATTTCCTGGCTGCAGCTCGACTGGGGCGGGGGGTGGGGGGGGGGGGGGGGGGGGGCTTCTCTCCGTGTCTGAATTCCTGCCTCTGGGATCTGTTTCTGCACGTGGTCACAGGGCGGCCGCCGCTGTCCTGGCACACGTGACACCAGCTCCTGCCTAAGGGGCAGGAGTTTAGGTTTCCAGACCTGGGACCTTGGGCAAGTCACTTGACCACCTGGGCCTCCTCGGTGTCTGTAGGGCCTGGCCCTAGCTGGGAGGGACCCTGAGCTCCCTTCTGGGGCCCCTGCAGTGGCCCTTGGGGGTACTGAGCCACAGGGGTTAACTGAGGGGAGACAGCATAGGCCAGACCAGGCTGCGCAAGTCAGCAAACCCAGTTTCGCCACCCAGCGGCGACAACCCCCACTTCCCCGCCATGAACGCCCCGGGCTGCACACGCACATACTTGCTCTTGGCTGCCACAGCAGCGGGCAGGCAGCGCCAGTCCGAGGGGCAGGGGAGCGCCCACCCACAGCCTTCCCCCGCGTTCCCCTGGGGCGCCACGTTCCCGCGCACCTGCCTACCTGCCCCGCCGCCGCCCGCGGGCTCGCAGCTGTCCCGAGGCCGCCTGCAACTCCTGCCGCGCCGCGCCGCGCCGCCAGGCGAGTCGCACCAACCCCAGCGGCGCCGAAGTGGAAGCGGCGCCCTCGGGGATCTGCGCGCCACCAGAGGGCTCGTGGCGACTTGAGTCCGCCCTCCCGGGAGCTTAGGGCGGGGGCGGGGCTGCGGCTTCCTTAGTCTGCGGAGGGGTCGGGCTTCTGCGCCCCCTACGCCCCGTGCCCTGATCCCCCCTCACTCCGGCCACTGCATAGCCCGGAGAGCCGGGCATCCATCGGGGCCTTGGCGTCTAGTGGGGCGCCCCTGGGAGACGGACTCCAGCTGTTATCTCTGGGAGACAGAAAATAAAGGGGAGCTCGTTCTTGGTACTTTTCTAAGTTCTACCGTGCCCAAGGCCGTCCCTGCACACCCTCTGGGCACAGCCTTCTCACCAGAGGCCGGTGCGCCCTGGCTGTGGCCAGACGCCAGCTTTTCTATACGGCTGGCTGTGTGGGGCTCTGCTTGACTGACAGCACCTTCCTGGGGAGCCCTCCCTAGCCCTTTCTTGATGAGCCCATAATTCTCCTGTGACATATTAGGACACCCCCCACCCCCACCCCGCATCGATGGAAACAGTGGGCGACCATTAGTGATTGCTCCCTGGTGTCCTTTCTTCTGGTGCCGCCCACCCAATGTGTTCTCCCTCCACCTCCCTAGGAGTCTAAGCTGTGGGCTGCCGCCTTGGCCCTCCTCGTCTGGGCTTTCACCCCCACCCCCGTGTCTTGCCTTTGGGAGCCCTGTTCTGGAGCAGGTCAGGGTGGGTGGTGTTCCACTCAGCCTCACCCGAGTGTGAGGGCTGGCCTTGCAGCAAGTAAGGCAGGCCCTGCAGTCAGCCGGGTATGGCAGAGGGAGGGGAGGGCCTCTCATTCTCAGAATCAGAGGTTATCTGATGTAACACCTGCCCTGCCCGCTAGAGGCAGCAGAGCTACCTACCATTGTAAATGACATCATACTGCTACCCTGCAGGCTTCATTCCTTTTCACTTTTTAAGGTTTACTTATTTAAATGAAAGGCAAAGTCACGGGGGGGGGGGGGGGGGGGGGACAGAGAGAAAGTGATCTTCCATTCGCCCATTCACCTCCCAAATGGCTGCAATGGCTGGGGTTGCACCAAGCTTAAGGCAGAAGCCTGAAACTCAGTCCAGGTTCCCACGTAGGTGGCAGGGTTCCAAGCACTTGGGCCATCTTCCACTGTTTTTCCAGGCACAGTAGCAGGCGGCAGGATCAGAAGTGGAGCCGCTGGGAGTCCAACCAGTGCTCTTATGATTTGCTGGAATCAGAGGCGGTGGCTTAACCCGCTGCGCCACGGTGGCACTCTCAAGCCTTTCACTTCTAAAGCAATTGCACGTGTTGACGCTCACCCGCCCCTGCCAGGGCTAAGACATTAGTGGGTCTAAGCACAGGCTCTGGAACCCACGGGCCTGGGTTTGAACCCCGGCGCTGACTTGTCAGCTGTGGCCTTGGTAAGTTAGTGCATTTCTGCATCACTAAAATGTGGTAACAGCTCCTGCAGCGTGGGGTTGTTCTGAGTCTCTTAATGAGAGTGTGTGTTTCAAGGGCTTAGACCTGTAGCTGCTACTGTAATACCGCCGTATGTGCGTGTTCTTGCTGATGGTTGTGGTATTGTCAACTGTATCATTTCACAGGTTTGGCAAGGCTGAGATCCATCTAAGGAACTGCTGATTTTCTCACCAAATGCCACGCAATCCTTGTCTCTCACACCGTTTTCACTTCCCGTCCTCATGTTTCTGGGTCCAAATACACCTATTCCATGGGGCGGAGAAACAGCTGTCCTGTAGCCCTTCTGAACAGCTAGCCAGTTCACAGCATCACCACCAACCATCTCTTACGGCTTTTATGGGGTTGTCTCTGAATTGCTGTGCTTGCCTTCACAGAACGCCTCCCTCAGGATCACAGGAGACCTGTAGAAGCTCAGGGGTCAGCGTGTGCACCTGTGCCTCTCCTGCTCTCAGCCCACGGTGGAGAAGAGACAGGGCAGAGATGATCTTTCCCATGTTCGGGTGTGGGAAGATGAGGCTTAGTAGACATTCACTGATGGGCCCCAGGCTGTGTAAGCCAGCCCGGAACACAGGAAGGATGAACATCCCTACTTCCTTTTCCCCAATGGCTACAGGAATTAGTTTGCAAGAAAAAGCCAAACACTAAACTGCACACCTAACAGGTGATGAGCAAGCCTGAGGCTGGGGAAGGCATTTGGTGCAGTGCTTAGGACGTCCACACCCCATGTCAGTGCCCGAGTCCCAGCTGTGCTTCCAACCCCAGCTCCCTACTAAGGCGGCCCCTGGGACGCAGCAGTGATGGCTCAAGTCGTTGGGTCGCTGCCATCCATGGGGGTGACCTGGACTGAATTCCCAGCTCCCAGCTTTGGCCTGACCCAGTACTGGCCCTGTGGGCATCTGGGGAATGAACCAGAGGATGGGAGATCTCTCTGTCTCTCTCTGCCTTTCAAATAAATAAATAAATACAATTTTTAAGAGAGGCAGGAAGGACAGGCGTGCACAAGTTGGGGGGTGGGGTAGGGGGAGAAAAGCCTCAAAGTCTCAGAACCAGGGAGAGGGTGACAAAGCTGAAGGCAGTGGAGGAAAGTGGAGGCGGGTCCCTGTTTTGTTTTCTCTATGACATAGGGAGATAAGTGACAGTGGAGGGTTTGGGGAGAATACTGGGACACTTGTGTGATGAGTTGCTGTCTCCTGTGGGGTGGGGTGGGGGTGCCCGGTGGAGGAGAGTGTTGGGTGGGAAGCAGGCTTGAAGGGCACAGGAAGGAGGTGTGCTACCTTCTCCCTGAGCCATCTTTGAGCTTCACGGCCTGCTCCCTCCTGATGTCTCTGACTTCGTTTTCCCATTTATTCCCTCACTGCTCTCCACCGTAACTTAAATCCGGGTCCTGTTTCTTGGTCCCCTCAGGGCAAGGTGGCAACCCTGACTGTTCCAGGGTTTCTGTATTCCATCACAGGAATTCCCCGCTGTCCCTCTTCCTACCGTTAGCAGTTCCAACATGTGGATGCCCCAGCGTTCAGTATTGACTCTCCCAGGCTCCATGAGGAAGGGCAGTATCGTCCCCAAAGCCAGAGCCTTGCGAAGAACAAATCCAACAGCTGCGGGGGGTCGGAAGAGTGGCCAGCTGTGCCACAGCAAGCAAACCCCAGAGGGTAATCGCTCTGAAGCCACACCGTCTGCCCACCTCCATGAACATGTGGGGAATGAGACATTTTTCTATGAGATCCCAAGAGCCCCGTGTTCCGAGCTGCTATTGACAAGTGGGGCTGGAACGGAGGGCCTCCCGGAGGGGATTTGAGAAAGCCATGTACCTCCTTCACGGAATTCGAAAACCTCAGTCCTACGGAAGCATGACGAGCAGGACACAAGCGACGACTTTGTCCTCTGCGCCCAGAGGCAAGAGTGCCTTCCCCACTTGGATGCGACCAGAGACTCGGAGCTCAAAGAAGCCAAGGAACCCAACCTCTGCCCCCCCAACATAGGATAGGCAGGGGAACCATGGTTCAGGGGGATGTGGCCACTAGGACCCAAGCTTGTGAGGGACCACCCTAGGCCTTGGATGTGGGATTTCCTTCTACCCCCACCCCCTCCAGAGGGCCTCTGGGAGACACAGTACCTGATGCCACCTTGTGTGACATATTGTTTTTACTGTCACAAATTTCTTAATCCTACCTTTATGGATCAGGGAAAGAAAAGGCATCAGAGAATCAAGGGTATCCACCAAAGAGCTGTATCATTACTTCTCCTAAAAATGTTTAAAGGCCATACAGTGAGTAATGAGTTGCCAGAAAGTATAATAAAATAAGGGTAGAGTTAGCTTCTCTGGGAATCATGAAATTAATGTTTTATAGCTGCTATTTTACAGTTCATAAAGTGTTTAGAAGGGAAAGTACAGATCTTTTTCCCTACTGCTGGTGCTTTCTCAAGCATACAAATGCATCCGTATGAGAGTCACTTACAATGCCGTGGCTACTGATATAATAAACAAGGAAATAAGGAACATAAGTAGGGGCCAGAAGTCAAATAGTCTCAGCCCCAGAGATGGTGGAGCCAAGCAGCCCCTCAAAGCAGCAAGGACAAAAGAAAGCTGCTGGCAGTTGTACTGTGGGGGCCTCTTCCACCATCGAAAGCTGTCAGGGAACATCACCAAGTTTGTTTGCTTGTTTGAACTTAAGAGAGACAGAGACAGAAGGAGAGGGAAAGGGGATAGGTGGAGCGAGAGGGATAGAGGAGAGACGGAGGGAGAGGGATAGAGGAGAGGGATAGAGGGAGAGGGGGAGAGGGGGATGAGGAGAGGAGAGGGGGAGAGGGAGAGGGGAGAGGGAGATGAGGAGAGAGGGGGAGGGGGAGGGAGAAGGGAGCGGGAGAGGGAGCAGGAGAGGGAGAGGGGAGGGGGAAAGGGGAGGGGAGAACGGAGAGGGAGAGGAGAGAAGAGAGGGGGAGAGGGGGAGGGAAAGGGGAAGGGGAGGTAGAGAGGGAGGAGAGGGAAAGGGGAGGGGGGAGGGATGAAGGGGAGAGGGAGGGGGAGGGAGAGGGAGAATATCCTAACCTCTAGTTCGCTCCCCAAATGACCACAAACTGGGATGGACCAGGCTGAAGCCAGGAGCTGGGAACTCAAGCTCCTATGGTGTCCCACATGAGTGGCGGGAGCCCAGTTTTATGAGCCATCCCTGCTTCCTTCCAGGGCTTGTATTAGCAAGAAACAGGGGTCAGGGGCTGGAACCCAGGTCATCACACCCAGGCATTCTGATGCAGCATGAAAGCATCGTAACTGTGGGCTGATGTCCACCTCCCACTCTGCGTGGACATTCGGTGCGGTGGCTGAACTACTATCACATCAGAGTGCCTCGAGTCTGATCCAGCTTCCTGCTAATGTACGCCCTGGGAGGTGATAGTTCAAGGACTGGTAGCCCTGCCACCCATATGCGAGGCCCAGATATAGTTCTGGGCTCCTGGCTTCAGCCTGTCCCAGCTCTGGCTGTTGCAGGCATTTAGGAGACAAACTTGCAATGGAAGATCTCTCTCTCCCCCTCTATAACTCTGCCT